TGTATGCATTTTCGGTTTCATATTGCTCTCAGAATTGAACACTTCTTTCGATCTCTTCCTTATGATGCTTGTAATGTCCCAGAGGACGATGCTGTCAATGGTCAAGCATCAAACTTTCTTGCATACACAATTTTTCTATTAAAATTCTCTCAGCTCCACTTTTAACTATTTCTTTTCTTTAGTTTCATTCAATTGCATCTCTTGCACTCAGAAACTTTTTTTTTATTTTTAGTGCTTTCTAATGTTGGAGTTTTTGAAGCTACCAATGCTCTCAATTAAGAGTAGCTGTGATGTTTATCCATTATCGAGGAAAAAGTTGAGAGGTAAATTTTCATTATTGTATTAAAATGAAGTCTATAAAGTGTATAGTATACGGTATTTTATCATTCAGATTAATATTGAATCTTATTTATCACTGTTAATCTTCGAATTGGTAACTTGGCATTTTTTGGCAAATTTGGCGACCAACCCTGCTACGCAACCTGCTAGTTTTTGTTTTGGACCCATTTTGTTTTTCACGAGTAAAGCCATTTTTTTTTTTTTACCAACATTTTTCCAACAATCTGCCCTAGCCGAATTAACGCTTATACTTAACTTTTATGGAACAAAATTCTTAATCAGACGTAGATTAGGTGTGAAATTGGGAGAAAGTGCAGAATCGGTATCCATTACACGTTGACCCTTTTCACTTAAAAAACATCCCAGAATTGCACAAAAATGGCATTGCATACCTTGACTTTATCCTTAGACTAAATCCTAGCTATAACCGTATCGCCTTACCAAAATGTCACCAAACCCTGTTACCATATCCAAGATCAGCCTTTAATCACCTTATATATATTACAGGGATATTTTGTTCTACATAGTGTTTTTCGTATGTTCTGGAATAATTACCCACAACACGGGCACACCGTAATTGCTTTTCATTGTAGTTATTTAAGCTATAGAGAATGTTTCCTAGAATGCTATACTTTTGCGAAAGCGTACTTTTTTTATGCATATCTAATATTTAATGTTATCAGCAACTATATATTTAATGCATCACAATGACAATAAATGATAAGCATACTTGTTACTTTTATCACTACTTCTGTACATTAATGGTTTTCATGAGAATTAATACAATGCATTTGCTGACTTTTAATTTACGGTTCTTCCAATATCAACATTGTTTCCTTTAAGTGTCTGCGATCACATAACGTTGTTTTATCATGTTTTTGGAGTTCATCTTCTACAATATACAATAGAAACTGCTGCTAGTTCTAGAACTTTAATTTGTAACTATCAGTTTCTGTGTCCAATTACACCTTATGTGTTAACGTAGGCAGGAAAGTTTTGGCTCTAGTGTAGAACTGGGCCATTCGATAGGACAATTTTTTTTTTTTTTTTTTTTTTTTTTTAATTTTGGCAATGAACCTCATTTCTGGTTACCTGATAGTTTTAACTTTGTTTTTCTTTGACTTTTTAAATGAAATAGTGGATGTGTACATAACAATTTAAGGCGTGTGCAATGCCTATTTGTGCAATTCTGGGATGTAGTGTTACAATCGATGTGTACATGGACCAGAGTTTGTGTAATTCTTTGACTTCTTATTTTGGTTTGTGTAGCATCTATCTTGAAATTGGCTTTTGCATTTAAAAAAAAAAAAAAAAAAAAAAAAGAATTTCCAATAAAAAAGGGCACCCAATTGTAAACTTTTACCAAAGTTTTTTTTTTTTTTTTAAGGGTGCATTTATTGAAGGTGTAATCCTTTTACTGCTAAAAAAAACAAAGTTAATATCACAGGATGAAACTCCCTTTGTTGGCACATCGAGTAAGTAAATAATTATATACATCAAGAATTAATGGGTAACGTCTTTTGTAAAAATTATTATTTCAACCATAAACTTTCTAGGAGGGCAGACCATCCCCAAAAATCAGATAATTTTTTAATATCAAGAGAGATAATTTCAAAATATTAATTAAGATACATTAATATTGCTTTTGGTTTTAATAATGCATTTAATGGTACTATTTATAATCATTGAGCTGTTTCTTAAATTTCTTTTTCGGACACTGTAATTACCGAAAAATACTTACATTTCATGTACCACACGTGGGAACTGCCTCCTATGGCCCTGCTCATGCCCTTTTTTCAGTCCGTAGACTGGGCTAGGATTAGTTTCCTGTTAAAAAAAAACATAAGGTACTTTATTAGGTATTCTCTATATTTTGTTTTTAAACATATTGTAATAACAATTCATATCCAATTTACACTCAGCATTAATCAGTATTGAAGAATAATAGTTCGTAAAAAATATAACAAAATTCTATCAAATTACTTAATTTGATTTTCTACTTAAACCAGTTAATCTATTGCTGGCTTTATAAAACTTGCATGACATCTATTCAGTTTCCTAAGAAGTATCAGTTTGTTAAATTTATGTACTTATGAAATAAATGTTAATTGTTACCATATTTAACAATCGGAAATATGAAGAAAACTTTTACATTTCTGTTCTTTGAAAGGCATTAATTAAACTGAGACTGGCAATTACTACATGAAGTTTCATTAAGCAAACCAAATTCTGCTAACAACATCCTTTATAAATACTTTAAAAAAATTATGATTTCTTTTAAATTAAATGCACACAGAATTTTTTAAATCATTATATTATTACCTCCTTTGATTCTTTATAAATTTATTCACTGGCTCATTAACATTCTGAACTTAAGGTAGTTGGCAGTTTTTCACAATAGCAAAGATGCTCTTAAAGTTTTAGGAATTCTCTCACCTTTTTGTTTTTTTTATCCTCTGTGTCAGCCTGTAATGTTAAAACTGAACTCTGCATCCACTCTTCCTTTCTTTTTCAAAATCTGAGTGTTCCTTTCTTCTGATTTCTGTGATGGCATAACGTTCTTCAATTGTCATCATTTCGATACGTCATTATCAAATCTCTTTCTCTGAGCAAACATTTGTACCCAATCTATATCCAAACTGAGCATACATAATGAATGTCCTTACTATCTAAAATCTCACACTATAATCTATGCATGAACAAACTGATATGCAGATGTTGCACTCTGACATCGAATTTTACAATTACACACTTTTCAAAATACACATTATTTGTATAATCAGTCCTTCTTGACTTCTAGATACAATCCATGCCTGTTTTGGCTTATTTCGTATAATTCATAATCAGCCATGAATTTGCTCCTTTCATGTTTGTTTCTATTCCTTCATTCGAGAAGTTAATTTGGCCGTTCCCACCGAAATGTTTGACCCATTAATTTCTTGCTATTGCAGTTAAAACAAATCATGACTTATCTAATCTTTTAATAACTGTCCACCAGCTTCTTTGTATTTAAGCTGCCGATGCCACCGCTCACTTTCATTTGTATTAACACCCAATAGTTCGGTAACAATATGCCCACTGTTCTTACGTTGCATGTATGTGGTTAAATACTCTCTCCAAAAGCTTGAGTTTTCATCATGCACACATAATCACTGATACAAGCATCGAAAGTCTTTCAAAAGTCACAATATCGATTTCTTTTAGATTTTCAGTAACTCTGACTTAATTTTACTCTTATTTTCTGGATCTCGGACTTTAGAATTCCAATTTTTGCCATTGCACGTGCACATGCCAGCTGCAAAGTAAATGATCTGCTCTCTCCAAACACAGAACACCATGCTTTGTAATATCCGAGCATCATCAGACATAAACTGTTGTCTTCAAATTTGGAAGTCTTTCTTTAATGGAACTGAAAAATGCAGCAAAACGTTTCAGTGGTTAATTTTGAAGAATACAATGGCCCACTGGGAATCCTTCAAAATTGTTATCATTATTAAACAGATGTTAATTAAACCATACTGATTTGTCCATGGTAAATCTATCATGATACAATTACTATGTCGTTCGCATTTTTAATTGTGGCATATTCATAATACCTAATAAAAATCTGTTTGCATAGACTGGTACTGAGGCAGTTTCTTCAGTAGTTTTTTATATATTAAAAGTGAATTGCCAGTTCTGCTCAGTTTTCTAATGTTATATCTACAGACAACGAATCATTATTATCCAGCATAATGTCTTTGTCAATCCCAAAGTCTCTACGAATATTTCGTAAATCTTGTGAATTTGTTATACACAACCGTTTTGAAGGTGTGTAGCACTTTGAATTTGACAACTTTTGCGGTGGAACTCCTGTTTCATTAAATTAGCTAGATTAGTTTTTTCTGTCTTCGAGGGCATTTTCCCCACTTCTGTTTTGTGACCGACAAAAGACTGAGATTCCACTTTTATTTTTTCTTTTTCTAAATTTTATGTATGCTGGACACGTAATACCACATTAATAGAGCCAGCTATTTAATATTACGTTCTTGACTCTTTTTTTTACTTGCCCTTCTATGGCACTGATAATACGATGCAGTTCCTTCTTTTACTGCCTTTTTACTGGATAAATAATGAAAGAAGATTGTGTATTTCGTTCCCATCATTTCCTTCCGTGTTCAAATTCAGTTTTAAAAATACTTGATTTTCATACTCCAAATTATCAGTATGATCTGTTTTTCTATATGATGTAATATTCCTTCATTGTTTGGAATTTAACGCAGAGACCACAAATTTTATTACAAACCTTGTGAACTTCTTTTTTCTGGATATTCTTTCTGATATGTTGGTACATCTTACATTTATACTGTGTTACTTCACAATGAGGGCAAGATATCTGAGATGTAGAAGCACATAACTTTTAATTCCATTTTTATAGAGAAGTATATTTATTATTTATATATGTATTCCATATTTATAGAAAATAACAAGTGTTATTTCGTTTAGATCTTATTTAAATTTAACACAGAATTTTCAAAATTGGTAATCATAATTAAAAAAAAAGGCAGACAATCATAGAATAATAAATACTACACTTACTCAAAAGCAGTAGCCGTTTCATAGTAGCGCTCAATTCCGAAACGACTGGAATTCCTATACTCAAACCCTTTTCCTTTCCTCTTAGCTCATCCCTACTTTCACGTACCACACCTACAAATCTTGGACTCTTCCAGCAAACAATAGCATTCGTTCCGGGATTGAGCGTCTCTAAGCTGAGACGGTCGCCATTTTTATAAACTGTGGAGCCGCAGTTATTTTCTTGCTGTTCTGAAAGCGGTAAGTATAAGCGTGTTAAATATTTCGTAATTAATTATTTGTTATTTTAAATTTTGACTGTAAACTTGCTTATTTATATAAATACTAGCAGCGACGCTGCTTATTATAGTACTTATTATATTATCGTCTGACTTTATAATGTACCGGGAAAATGGCTGAAGGGAACGCCAATCGTTAAATTTAAAAACTGCGTAGAATTTTACTCTGCAGAACAACTTCATAAAAAAAAAGTTATTACGTATAAGAAAATTACAATGATAAGCAATATTCCTTAATACAATATTAATTATCCCAATAAATAATTAAAACCTACTGACCTTTGCAAACCCCAACCTGTTGTTCAAATGTATAAAGGAGGTTAAACTTTGTTTCCAAAAATCACTCAACGTTTCAATATTTAAAGACATGAAAAGAGCATAAATTACATAAAGAATACAAAACACAAAAATTCCTGAAAAGCAAAGTAATGATATTTTCAAAAGAAAAAAAATTACGGAAATAAGCTATATCCCTTATACAAATATTATTTCCTAATAAAAAAATAAAGCAACTTCCGTTGAAGAAAAAAAATCAAGCAAAACTTTTCAATATCTTACAAATAGTGAAATCAGCAAAAAATAACATGAAAAAAACTCAAAAAAATTCAGCGCAGAATTTTACTCTGAATTTTTTAACTTATTAAAAAAAAATGGTAAAAGTATAGTTTCAGGTACCCCTTGGCGATTTTTGGCGGTACATGGATACCGATTTTGTGCAATTCTTTGACTCCCCGCAAAAATCGCCGCTACAGAAAGCCAAAATAACAAGACAAACAATTGCACAAACTCGTATCCATGTACCTCGACTTATTTCACTTTAAAAAAATATCCCCGAATTGCACAAAAATGGCATTGTGCACTCCTTTGACTTTATCTATGTACACGTCGACCTATTTTCGCTTAAAAAAAATTCCTGAAGTGCACAAAAATGGCATTGCGCACTTTTTAAACTTTATCCATGTACACGTCGACCTATTTTCACTTAAAAAAAATCCCAGAATTGCACAAACTTGCATTGCGCACTCCCTTTACTTTGTTCATGTACACATCGATGTATTTTCACTTAAAAAGTCAAAGGAGCACCAAATTCTACAATATATCAAACAAAAATACAATCTCATAAAATAACATTTTAAAACAACAATAAAATAACAAAAAAGAAAACATGTTATATATTTAAGCACTACCAAAGCACATATTCCTTCCCATGATTTTCGAGTTAGCTTCGTACACCCAGAGCCACGTAAAATCAAAATATCAGTCTACTCAAATGACATTTTTCAAACCAGGTACTCTTTCTGATCAAACGCTTCACATAGTGACCATCTGAACCTTTCTTCCGACAACCCATTCAATCCTCTAACTGTTTTTACGTTCGACTAGACGCATATCCCTCCTACATACAGGAAACTTGTATGGCTACTAAGTAAACCTTCATTTACACACCAGTCATTAAAGCTCTTTTTCCTCTTCCAAATAGTTCAAAACTTCAAATTAATCTTACACATTCGGCCATTCCCCGTCTAAAGAATCAAACCAACACCCACACAACACAAAATGCTTACACAACATCCCATGATTCAAACTTCCCAAATCATGCACCCGTTACGTCACACTACTCATGCTACCATAATGCACAACTTTGGCATAAATCAACTAACTCGCCATAATACAAGGGTACCTTAAAGTCTCTCTAACCAAAAAAAATAAAATGTATCATATAAAAAAATTAAAGTATGCAAGCTCTTAAAAACAGTGACATAAAGAAATACGATGAAAATTGTTGCCAAACCCATATTTCTAAAAATGAAACTATTCAAAATGATCGATTTCATCAGAAATCTATCAACAACATTAAGAAAGGAAAGTTGTTGCCAAAATCACATTTTTAAAGATGTGAGAAGTATACTCGGAAGCTTCATTTAAAAATTTTTTAAAAAGTACAAAATATTATCATTTTTCCAAAATTCTTTTCATAAAAGCAATCGCAAGGATGAAAGCTTAACGTGTCCAAAAATCAAGGAAAAATAAACTGTACATTTTTATAAATAAACTTTTTTAGAAAAAATCCAGTTGAAAAGGTGTTAAGCTCAGTTTGTTAAATAAATTCGTATTTAATCAATTTATTGAAACACAAAATTTAGTTTAAATTCGTAAAATAGCTAAGTGCCTACGTTTTATTGTGATGTGAAAATACAGTGTGTAGAGTAAATCTTGCTTCCTATAGCCCATTTGTCTCAAAATGACGCAATATCGTCACAAAACATAAAATAAAAAATTTTTAATTCTAATTAAAAAAATTAGAATTAAAATTTGAGGTGCACTGGCTCTTGTCTAAATGCACCTATGTACCAAATTTCGTAGCCTTAGGTCTGTTAGCTTACGCGCAGCGCAAACGAAAGACACACGCACAGACAGACTCTTTCTTTCATTATATGTAGAGATTAGTGTAAAATCTCGACTGTGAAATAATTATTGTAAAAAGGTATGAAAGTTTGGCGAATTTTCACCATTGGTTGCAATTACGTCTTTGATTTTCGTTTTTTCTTCTTGTAATAAAACTGCTCCTTTATTTACAATAAGCATAGCTTTATTATAATAAATGTATTTATTCCTGTAAATTATACATTATGAAGAATTCGTGAAAATGTAAAGTAGCCTTTGGAAATTGAAATATTTATATATATATTAAAGTAATGTATTGCTTCAATTTCATTCCCCAGGATAAATAAATTTGTGCCAGCATCAAATATTGTAATAAAAATATAAGATTTGCGTTTCTGAAAATTCATTTCAGAAAGCATTTTTCATACTTTTTGAGAAAAGTAGGACAAATTCATACAATACATAATATGAGGATGATAATAAAAATCAGTGTGCATTCATTTTTAGGGGAAAGTGCAGAATCACCCACTGCTTGAAGCATTTTTAAGAATTGCACATACTCTGTATCCATGTTCACATCGACCTATTTTCACTTAAAAAAAATCCTAGAATCGCACAAAAATGGCACAGCACACTCCCTTGACTTTATCTATGTACACATTGACCTATTTTCACTTAAAAAGTAAAGGAAAATTGACAAAAAAACCAATTGTTTTTACCCTTGTAAAAAGCGCCAAACAAATAAGTGGGCGATTCTGCACTTTACCCCTTTTTTAAAAACGTACAGAACGAAATAATTATTTTAGTTCAGTATATCTCTTATTTGTCTTTATTATTCAATTCTATGCATTGATGCTGTTGTTTTAGATATACCGTACTCTTCTCTATTTTCTGCTTCATTCTAAAATAACTATAACAGTAACCAAAACTGAACAGTAAATTCAAATATTTTGTACCTTCTTTAAAATGTATAACATGGCTAACATTAACACAAATAAAGTCACCTTCATTTATTAACTGCTTTATAGACAATTTTATGGATCTGCAGCAAATTCTATGTTTATTAATAAGTTATTCCATTTGTTTATGTTAGGTTAGATTCCTGAAAGCTGTCTAAGAATATATTATATAGTACATGGATATTTGTTCATGATTACAGTTTGTATTTGTTCTTAAATTGATAAATAAAAGTTATAGAATGGGTGGTCTTCTCGTAATAAGAAAAAGGATCATGATGTGGTCCCAAGTAATTGTGTTTAGTATTGTAAAATATTCAGTTTCTTTGCAAAAGGAGGAGGATGCATTCATAAAGGTGAACCTTGATGAATGACCTTCATGTAGTGAAGTATCACTTTTATAGCATGATTGGTGAGATCCTACGATGGTACCAACAGCATCTTAGAGGTATCTGCAGCTGAAAAAGAAGACTGTTTAAACCTTTGAAAGCAATCCGGTGAATAACAAATATTACACTGATTCTTGTTGCTTTAGCACCTCCATATGAAATGAAAAGGGTGCACTTTTAACTTTTTAAACTATTTATTTATAATTGTAGAATATTATATATTACCTGTGGTGTTGTTAGGGTGGGGCATCTGTTCCTGGGCTCAGCATCCAAGCAGCGCCAAATTGATGCTACGAAATTTTTTAATGAAATGTTTTTCCATTCTTGGCACACAGAAAAGAGCCCAAATTCTTCAGTTTTTCCCGGGCACTCGAATCCTAGCTACGCCACTGAATATTACAGAGAACTGCGCTATACTAGCATAGCTATATTTTTATATATTTTCTATCCAAAAGTGTTGTCTATCGCAAGCTACTAAATACTAAATGTTGACATTTATAAATTATTAAATGTTGCACTCCAGTAGTATAGAACAAGGTTTAACTTTCTGTTGTGAGGACCGCATAATATTTACGAAAACTTTGTGGGAACCCAATAAGCGTTGCACAAGTCCAACACATGTATGAGTGAAACTATCAGTTTCTTCACTTGCACTGTAATATACTATTGTTATTATTGTTATTAACTTTAATTTTTAAAGTAAAATGAACATTCCTGTTTTAAAAAATTGCATTGAAACATTTTCGTTTTTTCTTTGTATTGTCTTATCTCGATCTGTTTTCAGATATATTATGTAAAAATACAGTCAAAAGTCTTTAATCCGGACTCGTCGGGACTTCGACGATTCCGGATTATAGATCATCAGTTAAGATGGCATGCAGAAATTATAAAATTAAAAATATGAAACTGTAATTTATGAAATAAAGAGCAATTATGATCTAAAGCAGGGATGGGCAAACGTTTTCGATCACGGGCCAAAAATCGAAAAAATAAAGTTTGGTGGGCCATATGAATTTTTTTCTAAAATTTTAAAAACAATATACAGTATTACACTTTAATATATTAATGAGATGAATGAAATTGCGATTTCATTTTTAAAAGTTCCTTATATTGAGGTTCGAAGTGAGATCTACTTCTGAAATAATTCTTTCTAAGGTTCATAGTTGAAAACACTTGTTCACATATATAAGATGAAGCAAACATAGCACTGATTTTCTGAGCATGAGGTATTA